TCCATGGAAACACAAGTAGAGCACAGTAAAAATGAATATATAGTGACCCAGCATGTGGACAATACTTCACGTCATGCCACCCGGAGTTCTTAAGGTATACCACAGAAGAACAGTAGCTAAGAAGTTATTAACAGAGAAAGACACACATCTGCAAAGTACATCGCCCACACGGAATGATTGCAGATCATCGCTGATACCTGGAGCTGCAAATATGTTGCGAACGGAAGAAAGTCTCCGGAGGTGGTACAACGCATGCACGCCTGTGAAAGGTTTACAAACAATGCTCTCACCTTCTGAGCCTATATGGTTAACCCTGACAATGCAATAAGGGTACTCAGATACAATGATCACGTTGTCAGGGGCGCTGTATGCGTAAGTTGTACCCTTCAGAACCAACACGTCACGACGTGTTAATCAATGATGATGTATGCGAGTCCCCTGAGATTCAGGCCACTGAGATAAAGAGGAGACGTCCGCATGTTACAAGCACCGTCTCACAATCTGCGCCGTGGGGTATCGTGCGTTACACACTGCTTGCTTCAGGACTCTAATGGAACTGCGGAGAAAGCATCCAGCGTCCCATGCACCCCCAGTTCCAGTGCTAGGTGGCTTAGGCAGTGAACATTGAATGTCATCTGATCTTTCCCGTACAGGAGGTAGTACCCGTGTATGAAGTTAAGCATCAACCGTTTCACGAAAGACCAGTAATGCTTATGTCACAGCGGATGACAGAAAATGTATATTCCTAGATGAAGATGTATAAAGTTGTCGTAATAATCTCCTGGTAACACATTTAACAACATCGCGGGCGCGGCGCATAAGACAAACTGCCTAAATTCCGTGGCTTTCCAACATTTAAAGTAGATATGCCCCTGCAACTCCTAGGGAAATCACATGGCCATGCCCTCATATTTTGTAGCGATAAGGGATCTAAAGCACGCAATGTATCACTGGGCAATTTCAATTTCTTCCATGCCGGTGCCTCTATCCATAAACCGATTATACCTCGCACCACCACTAAGCACAAGCAAAGCATGTTGTCAATGGGAAAATACGAAACCATATCAATACCGAGGTATTCAAGAGGTGACATTAAAGATCGCCTCCTTTTCATAATCGATTTATGAGGCTTAAGCCGGCAAGTGGTAGATGGGAAGATACCTTGCAGGTTGAAATAACTACCTCGCTGAATGCGTTTGCCGCAACTGCTGTACCTTGAGTGTCACTTCGTCATCTTCGCATATGCTCAGGCAAACGCGTCAGGTATAACAGGCCCTAATGCAATAAATATGGGCGTGGAGCATGCGGAGACGGTAAAATCCGTTGACAACAGCACATGCAAGAGAAGTGTCAGTGGACTTAAAAGTTCATTCACATCCGGTTTAGCAGGAATACCGTAAACAAATACAACAAATGGTTTTGACTTAACGGGATAAATAGATCGACACTGAATCGGCCAAACCTGCATTTTTGCGGAGTCGTACGGGGTG